TTCCGAACACTTCTACCGGTATGTATTCTATTTCAGTTCGGTAGGCTTATCTTTGACGTTAGCAAATCGATCACTGTTCCAGGCCGTCAAGGACCTCTACAAAGATAGAACTCCCCACGAGGTGATACGTGCAATGGAAGCAAGCCAGGAACAGCTGCGTAATGACTTAGTTGAGGTGAAGAAGATATTAGAAGAGACTAAGCAGAAGCTGAGGGCGAAAGAGCAAACCGTGGACGAGCTCAAGTGTGTACATGTCTTCTGTGTGACTGGATTACACTGAGATGTCTTGATAGCCCATACGGAGGATGGTGTCCCGTTCCTCTAGACACGTCTGTTCGCTTCCGCTCATATACTACGAAACAATGCTTGGACTTTGAGTCCTATGGCCGTAACCTTCGCATGTTGGATGCTGCTACAAACAAGAACCAAAAGGTTCACCCCTTTTTATTTACCATCAATTTCGTTCTTGCTAATCTTCCACAACCGCCAGTGGACTATCACTCGTGCTGGACCCAACGGATTTCATATTCGTCAATGTCAATCGGATTCAGGTCATTATCTCATCACTGGGAATGCTGGTACTGACAGCAGAATCTATTTGGCTACGCACGATTGCTTTGGAAACGTCTTCACGTTTGAAAAACGAGATGACAATACTGTGCGGTGAGTGCTCTACGTCCATTCACGCAATTTTTTGATGTTTATCTTGTTGACTCCTTTGCAGGATCCATCTTGCTGACAGGAAAGATTTCACAATGAATCCTGAGGGTGCTAGCCGTAGCAATGGCACAAAGATTATCATGTCTTTCTGTGTCAAAGATACTGATAGATGGTATGTGAACAGGTTTGAGGATTTGAGCTACGACTCGGATGCGTAGACTATATGTAATACACCTGAGTGAAAACAAGCTTACTTGATTGCCGAGCCAAACCGAAATCGAGAGTCAAAGTAGACATTGAGATTAGTCTTCCACGTTCAACGTTCAACTGTACTACGAGCTATCACCTAACCGGCAAGTTTTCTATTACCATGGCTGGTAATTGTGCTCTCATAAGTCGCAGTTCAACGAAAATGTGTGTAAATGAAGCGACGAGGGCAGGTGTGTAGAAGCCATAAAACCACAGGATGTCGGATCTTCAATGGCTATTTTCTAAACAGATGACGAGATTGGAAGGATATTGGAATGAGTAAGATTATATCGTTGCCGCCGCAGAAAGGTGGATGGGGGGCTGAGGAAAAAAGCTTTCACCGCTTTAGTTTGATCGAATCCTGTCGTCCCCGAATTCGTTCTATGATTGTAGCCGCCGGGCCTTCTTCGTCGGTCCAGCTGTGCCGTGTCTATTCTTGATTGGATTTAAGTTGGGGAGATTTAATCATTTCAAGCTTCAAGTACGTATAGGATACATGCGCAGTTTGTTGAAACTTGAAATCGAGGTGAATAGATAAGTGGAGAAATTGGCCGCGGCATATCTGGTATATAACCCACCAGCTCTTACTCCTTCCTCCACGACGATGAAGGAGAAGCAGGATCTCCCTCTACACAACCCCCTTCCTCCCTCAGGGAATGGAAAGAAATTCCGATTTCTGAAGGTGTTCGTCGTCTTGGCTGGTGTTTATTCACTTTCTTCCTTTATCACTTCTGCCCCACCACCAAATGTCACCTTTATTCAAGACAAACCCCGTCTGAATGCCAGCGAACTCGAATCCCTCTTCCTCTCCATTCCTTCTGGTCCCTCCGCGCACTCTACAGCTAAACTCTTCGGAAGCCAACCCCACCTCGCAGGTTCTGCACAGGACTTTGTCGATGCAAAGGAAGTCTTAAAGTTCTTCCAGCGCGAGCTTGGGGCTGTTCCGCCTACCATTCCACACCCGGACGACGAAGACCTTCTACCGATATACGATGCAGGCACTACCCGTTCTAGAGCTGCGACTATTGCTCTCGGTTCGAGGGTCCTGAGTCCAAGGAAACCTACTGCTTGGATAGACGTGTATTACCCTGAACTCGACACGCCTTCTACGCGTTCGCTTTCGATTCTAGACCCTGAAACGGACGAAGCAGAGTTTGAGTTTGATCTGGATGAGGATGGCGACTCGGGAGATGAAGATGCTGCGAGGTACAGGACTGCGATACCTGCATGGCACGGGTTGAGTGGGGACGGAGATGTAAAAGGCGAGGCAGTTTATGTCAACTATGGGACGTATGAGGATTTTGAAGAGATTTTGGAAAGTGGAGTAGATTTGAAAGGCAAGATTGTAATAGCGAGATATGGGGCCGTTTATCGTGGGCTTAAGGTGCTTTTCTTTCCTTCCTATCTTATTTTTCTCCATATCTTATATTACTATATAGGTCAAACGTGCAGAAGAACTCGGTGCCTCTGGTATCCTCATCTACTCTGACCCCCGCGACGACGGCTACGTGACTGCTTCCAATGGATTCACACCTTACCCCCAAGGACCCGCTCGTAACCCAACCTCGATTCAACGAGGCTCAGTTATGTACCTCTCTACTTACCCCGGAGACCCTACCACACCCGGCCGACCAGCCTACCCCGATGTTTCTCGTGACGAGTCCTTGAGTGTCCCCAAGATCCCAAGTCTTCCTATAAGCTGGTCCAACGCCGAGAGAATCCTCTCTGAAATCGGCGACTTCCACAATATCACCTCTGGGAAACTCACCGGCAGCGTTAGTTCAAAGAAAGTCCACCTAGTCAACCGCGTCAACAAGTCTATTACACCCATATGGAACACTATGGCCGCGATCCCAGGTCACGTCAAGAACGAAATCATCCTCGTAGGCTGTCATCGAGACGCTTGGGTCCTCGGTGCGGCTGACCCCGTCTCTGGAACAGCTTCTTTAGGTGAAATTGTTAAAGGTTTCGGGGAGCTACTCCGACAAGGCTGGAAACCCATGCGAACAGTCATCTTTGCGAGCTGGGACGCAGAGGAACAGGGATTGATCGGGTCAACAGAGTATGGAGAGGACTTTCAAGAATTTTTGGGAGAGAATGTGGTTGCGTATATCAATGTGGATGTTTCATCTTCTGGATCGAGCTGGTACGTTGGTGCATCGCCTTCGTTGGCTGGGCTGGTTAGGGATGTTGCTAAGACTGTGAGTCATCCGACTGAAAGCGGCAAGACGCTGTGGGATGCGAGACAAGACGAGGGGCCGTTCCGACCAGACTTGAACTTTACTTCTGAGTTGGTTGTGGACCCAGTCGTTCTCCAAGCGTACGAATCCACCAAACAAGAACTGGTGAAGCAAGAAGAACAAGGTGGAACGGGTGTTTACCCTCTAGGTAGTGGAAGTGACTATACGGTGTTTTTGCAGAGGATCGGTGTATGTTGCTTCGTTTTATCTTTTGTTAAAAGACAGCGGGACTGACGTGATTGTAGATCGCATCAACAGACCAAGGATTTGGACCAACGCCTCACGACGCACCGTATCATTATCACTCGATATACGATTCGGTAAGGTGGCAAGAGGTTTATGCGGATCCGGGGTATAAGAAGCACGTGCGTCGTCGTTTTCTTCGCTCGCTTTCAAGTTTAACCTAACGCTGATGATGCTACGTTCTCCTAGGTCGCGGTAGCCCAACACCTCGGTCTCATGGCTCTCCGCCTGACAGAATCATTTATTCTTCCATTGAATACGACGCAGTATGCATTCGAGTTGGACGAGTATTTAGACAAGTGCGTTCTGTCCCCTCCTTTCTTTCTCTTAGTCTTACTGATACTCTGTATCGTGTTTATAGAGTCGAATCCCTCCCTCTCCCATCTTCCGACGGCAACAAAATCAACTTTTCTCCGCTCCGTTCCTCGTTCCTCCGTCTCCAAAAAGCAAGTATCGCGCTGGACAAGGAAAAGGCAGAGGCGGAGAAAAAGTTTAGAGATGTTTTGGAGAGGATGCCTAAGTTCCCTTCTCGTGTCCACGGATGCCACGGTGGACTCGTACAAAGAATCAAGGACGCCGTCAAGGGCGTATTTGGTGTTTCTACGAACAAATTCTCGAAGCAGGAGGAAGACAAGATGGACAAATGGTACCCCACATCCTGGGTCGACTTTATAGGCATGGAAGAGGAAGACATGGATGTTGCTAGAGGATGGGTTGAATATCGCTTGGGTATGATGAGTGCATGGCGAATTACTGCCAAGAAACCAGAACTCTTTGCTACACTAGATGCAGCAAATATTGTAGACCTGAACCAGGGCCCGGGCTTCCCAGATCTTCCTTCACCACCGAAACTCCCCTTGCCTTCTAATCTTCCTACGCCATCTCCACCGGATTTACCTTCACCTCCAGATTTGCCATCTCCCCCCGATCTTCCTTCACCACCTTCACCTCCCGAGCCCCCGTCGCCTCCTAAACTCCCGATTCCTCCCATTCGCGAGTTTATCAAAGCAGCTAAACGTCTCTCTCGTGCTAATAAGAAACTCATGTCGTTTGAGAGAGGATTTATTGATGAGGAAGGTATTAAAGAAAGGGAGTGGTTTAGGCACTTGGGTGTTGCGCCTGGAAAGTGGTTGGGTCAGTCCCGTTCTTTTATTCTCTCGTCTTGTTCTTTTCTTTTTTCTTTTCCTCTCGCGAATTGGCGTCATTTTATTGACATGTTTGGGCTTTAATGTAGGATACGGAGCAACGACACTCCCTGCTCTCACAGAAGCCATTCAGTTTGATAAGGATATCAAGAGGGCAAAGTATGAAGTGGAGAGGTTGGTTGCGTTGGTTGATGGGTTGGCGGAGAATTTGAGACCCGAGGAGTTTGATGAGGAAGATTGAATGAGGCCGAGTGGAAGGGTGAGGAACAAAGAAATCGATTTTAAGTGTAAGTAAGGACTGTACTAGAACTTGAAGGGATTGCTTAGCCCAATATTAATGATGATATCGATCCAACTCTTATTTACTCTGAACGTTGAACATGAGGGAAAGCATTTTGGTGAGTGGATAAGGAGAAAAAATAATCCACAAGAACTTCAAAAATCCAAGTTTTGAGGACGCTAGCTGCCCCAGAGAGGCTCGAACTCTCGACCTTCCGATGCACATGTTACCGAGTTCGGTTGATAACAGTCGGACGCTGTAACCAACTCAGTCATGGGGCATGCAATATTAATATCAATGAATGTTTGGAACATCCAACTTCAACTAATAGACACTTTTAAATTTTAGTTGACATTTAGCGCTTCCAAGAGTTTTTTTTAAAGAGAGATATAACCGTCCGGGGTCGGATTGGGGTTTTGAGGTCGGTGTGTTCAAGTGGTGACAAGTTAAAAAGCCTCGTGTCCTGTCACTATTGCCTCTAACCACATCAGATAGGTGACCATCAACGTCCCAGATCGTATTGTCTCCCTCGTTATCGTTTGGTCGGCAGTATGAACCATCTTCCTACCGAGCTCCTCGTCGAAATATTCGCCTTGTCTTGCGACATTGGCTCGCCACCTGGCTTCACCAAAATCAAACCTGCTGTCGCGTACAACGCCGTTGAAGAGCCTCATCCGACGTCCTGTTCGACAAATCTAGTACTGTCTCTTCATCAGTGCCCAATTCTGGCTATTTCACAAGTCTGCAGAGATTGGCGCGATGTTTCCCTTGCGAGTCCTCAGCTCTGGAGCAGGATTGAGATTCGAGAAGAGCTGAAAAGCGCTACAGGTCGCAGAGTAGATGTACTGGAGAGATTGTTGGAATTGCTGCTTCCACGATCAGGGAAATTACCTCTTGACATCGTATTGGAATTTACCGAGTTTTCCAATGATAATCACGAATTCCAATCCCCATCGATGGAAATCCAAAGTGCCAGGCTCTTCTATCCTCTTTTCCCGCTTTTATGCAACGAAACCTATAGATGGAGAACAGTTCATTTTTGCATGCATAGGCACATAACTGTCAGCTTTGGAACTAATACTCTTTGGCCACGGGAACTCGAGGTGCCTAAGCTCGAATACCTGCACATTCACTCTCTAGGGGACTGGGACCACGCGGGCTGGACTTCAAGGTCCTTCGGTATTGACATTTCTTCAGCCCCGCTCCTTCATACCCTCATCTTCACCGGTTACAGCTTTAGAGGGTCGTCCCTCATCCCGCTGTCGTCTCTCAGGTTATTACAGTTCCATGGTGGCGAACGGTCGTTGGCGGGTCCCTCGACTCACCTTATTATCCGAGAAGATGCCGCCTATGAACATCTTCATCCCCAAATTGACGAAAGTCCTTGTCTTGCCAGGGTCTTTGATCTGAGGAGATCGTCTTTCTGGCTTGGTCAGGTATTTCGAGCCTTTGAAATGCCGAATCTAGTAGAACTTGCAGTTGAACTTGAAAAGGGCGAAATCCATTCTCTAAATCTTCACTGTGAAGATCTGATCGCATTGCTTCGACAGTCTAGTGCAGGTTCAATCACGCATTTCATGCTTGCTCGATTCTTCCTGACTGACGCTATACTGTTGGAAATAATCAAAGAACTTCCTGCGCTCACGCATCTTGCCATTGGAGAAAGATTCTCGGACAATACTTTTGAGGAGGCAGTTCCGAGTATCGATGATGATTATCCGGATATAGATGAATCTGTTGAGTTCCCTCTTACAACATCATTTTTTCGTGGATTACCCGAAAGGCTGAAAGAGGTTCATTTTGCGTTCCATGCTGGGATTGGGGTTGAAGATATACCGAGTTTTCTTGATATATTGCAAGTCATGTCCGAATATGGGCACTTGCAATATGCATGGCTGATAGTTCCAAAATTCACGTCCGACTTGGATAATGCGCATATCATGGAGCGAGTCAATCAGAGTTCGCTGAGATGTAGACTGGATTGGACTGATATTGATATTGAGCGGAATAAAGAATGCTGTGGTATAGGGAAGTGGATAATTACTTGAATGTTTTTAATGACTTGTCCAGCTTGTGAAAGGATAGGGATTGAATTACAGTTAGTGTCGGCCTGGGCGAAAAGCTTTTACTCGTTATTCGTTGCCTTTACCTGCACTACCCTTCTTTCCTTCGTCAACAGCTAGTTAAATTTTTGCCGCCGTTGTTACTTCTGAAGGGAAGGTTTCTATCTTCTAACCAACCGATTCTGCTTCACTGCTGTCATCGAAATCGAAGTAATAGAAGTACGTATTTACATGTCATCCCACTGGTGTTTCTCTGATGTAAACTCGATTGGCGGGAGCAGCTCGTTTTCTGAGACTCGTCTTTCCAGAAGACCCTGTCCCTGTCGGTCTTAAATGCATAACAAGTTCCTTGAATTTCTTCATTCGGGGTAATATAGTAGCTACAAAGCGCCGGTAAATTAATACACGGAAGTACATTCAAATAAATAATCATATATGACGCTTGAAATCTTCTGATCTTCCATAGCACACCTACTCATGAATATGTAAGGATCTATCCATACTGATGTCGAAAACCCGTACAGAGCCGGCACGATGAATAGAGGTATTCTCACTACGCATAGCAACGCAGCTTAACCGGCGGCATGTAATGATTGACGGAGCGGGTTTCTGAGCGGATTTCATAAATACCTCCCTAAAATCAGCCGTGCCTCAGGTACTTACTCAAGTTCCTCGTTGATAAATGTTCCGAGTCAAACCAAAGAAAGGATGTATCATGTACATGCCAACAGCTTGGATACCGGTCTCCGGGGCTGAGCGTCGAAAAACATAAAAGCAAGTACATATGTAATGGCATATGGCGATGTCAAAATCACTGGGATGGCATTCTCAGGAGTCTATTAACATCAAAGTCCTGCTAGAGTTTTTAAGCGAGTACAAAGTTTGCAACAGCAATTAAATTTCAACTCAGGTCACCGTCAAGACCTGGTCAACGCCGTCAGTACTGAAAGAATGATACCAACACCGGTACAAAAGGCTGTTCTAAAGCAGTTTCCCTACGGTTGAGAGTGCAAAGTGTCGCATCTAGATTTGACAGCCCGGCAAAAGTGAGTCTAGGAGTTCACGATTGAATTTTCAGCTTTCTACAGAATCGTTCTTTTTTTGGGAGATACATATACAACAAACAGAAGATTCTCATATTAAGGGACGTACATACAGCGATTCTTAAGTTGAACTGGAAGAAAACTTGACCCTGGGGGAAATACGACCGACGCTTGTATACACTGAGAAATATATTCAATACTTTGTCTTCAATCGCAGCCGTAAACTTGACCGGCGGAAGTCTCGACTGATCCCTGAGTCCAAGTGAAGCCCCAAATAGCGGTATAACCCAGAAACTTAAACAGATTCCAGGCTCGGGGGACTCGGTTGAGGCTGAGAGTCGGGGATCGGAGTTCGGGATGGCGGGGGAAGAACATGATAGGGGCTAAATCCGAGGGAATAAAGGGAAAGCACCGCTGTCGAAGAAAGAAATTGAGTAAAATCGCCGCTGTGGTACAGCCTGAGCTTATCAGTGATGACTGGAAATGTTGCATGCTGTAGGGATAGTGGTCTACTGGCTGTTCGCTGCTGTTGATAATAATCTGATGTCTGCCTAAGGATCCGTCTGAACATCCGAGAGAAAACTATACGAGACCTCATGTGCATGTAGCTTTTACATTCCCGCTACCTTCTAAGGTAGTGGGTTATATGCGATCTTTTGGATCGTTTTGAAAAAAGTGTTCCGCTGCATCAGCACGATTAGTCAAACGGGTGTATGACAACAGGATAGTTTGATTTGTCTTTGTCTCATTCCGTACCCCTCCAGAGTCTACATACACAACCAAGCAGTATCCTCGTACTACGTGGACGCTCATTCGCTATCTTCCGCTGTTAGTGTCGCGTTTCTCAGGTGGATTGGGTTTTGCCACTCGTTGGACAGGTTTTCTTCACCTGTTACCTTAACGGTCCCGGTTTTCCGGCTTTGACGACTAGCTATGGATTGTCACTGTAGTGTCTGTATATGATGTTTATTTGCAACACATAACAAGGTAGCGGGCTCTGCCGCGGAAGACGGCCTTATCTGGTTATCCGACATCCGACTGCTTGATACTAATGGTGTCTCATCATTAGTAGAGGGTGTGTCTGCAAGAGCTCATTATGATTACGCTAACATCAGACAGCACTCGCCGTCTCTTTAACCGATGGATTCACTCGTCTGAGAAAACAAATAACAATTAAATACTATCAGTCGATCCTCTTAGTAAATCACGAGCGAAAATGGCAGTCAGTACCTAATCACTCATAGTAAGTCTCGGTAGTGGCGCCGTGAAGTAGTAAAAAGTCATACGCACCATGACAGAATCTGTATGTCCCAAATTAATTCTGGGTGTGCTTTCGATACCTATGTTCATACGGTGATACATACTGTAGCGGTGTGGCGCATCTGGCCCTGTCCTATAAAGCCTTGAGCTTAAATTAACAATGAATAATGATATCACACACCAAGTGTGTTCCGCAATAACGATCCGTAAAGGAACAGTAGGGTAGAGGATGATAGTCATCACATCCAACTCCGATATCATGATATATGTAGTACTAGTTTTGATGTCCGTTCCGTTCGATTCCCAGTATCCGACGCTCCTTGAAAATCTCATTTTGCTTTGCGCTCCGAATATGATTATGTCTCGCGAGTCATTTCACCGACTGATAGGCAGCTTGGATTGAGGTAGATCAAAGGAAAACATACTTATGACGATTGTTCAAGGCAAAGGATCACCTCGTCCGATTCGATCGTTGAAAGAAAATGCTATTCTAAAGTAGGTGTTCCGTCCCGCCGTTTCAACTAAATCCTCGTACTCCTCGCAAATGGCTTCATCTTGAAAGCTACGGAACTGGTGCTCATTGCCTTGTTGTAGTCGGAACTCGGCTCGATTGACTTTCGCTGAACTCGAATTAATGATCCTATGACTGCTAAAGGCAATCTACTTTCCTTAACGCGTGGCTTGTCCGTCGGTTCCGTCCTGAACGGGTATGACAAATTTATGTCATTTGTAGCCATCAAGGTAAACGCCACTTCGCAATGTTAGATTGAATGTTTTCCTTGGCAGAGCTGTTTACGGTGAAGGGATGCACGGTACCTCTTCATGTAAATCGCAGTGATCGTGTACTTGGTACACACTTGAATGCCGGAATGGCACAGGACGACTGCAAGAAAGCTTGTGGCTTTCACGCTGAAC